TTAGAAAATATTCGTCCTTTATTATAACCTGCATTCAGCCGTCATTTAGCTTTTAACCTATTAAATCGTTCGGTTGGCAAGGTCAATTCTATAAACTTCAAAAAGAACGCTTAAAAATGTAAACAAATGAAAAATGCCGGTTATTTAATTTGTTTATTATAAATAAATATATATATACGTTATATATATATATATATATATATATATATATATATATATATTTCTGTAGTTCACTGCTACCAGCAAGCAGAAATATTTCTTCTCCTGATGATGGCCATTTTGGCCGAAACTAATCGAGGAATTTAAATGAAAAATAATAAAAAAAAACGAAAGAATATTAATCTACAACCCAGTGTGTCTGAAGATTTTAATTTTTTTAATTTTTTTTTATTGTTCAATATATATATATATATATAGATAGATAGATAGATAGATATGAACAATTATGAGAGATACATAGATATGAACAGATTGTGATCGATAGATAGATACGTAAATAGATATACACATAGACAGACAGACATATAACGTGAACGGCCTAAGATAGATATGAACAAAATGTGTTAGATAGAATCATAGATATATAGAAACATCATGAAGAGATTCTGATTCATAGCTATATGGATAGATAGATATGAAGAAGTATAGAGATATAGATCATGATCAGGTTGTGATAGATACATCAATAGATAGACAAATAGATTGTGTTACATGACCCTCTCTATTTATATTAAATCTAATTAAATTAGATTCAGGTATTCATTACAGTTATTGATATTAAATATAATTCCCCGTCCGAAAATTTAATGATTTATCTTTCATTCTTTCTTTTTATTCCTTCGAAAAGGGATAATATTAAGAAGTCGTAAACATCAGATGATCGCAGAATTAGGTCACAACCAAATAGTCTAGACCATTTTTGAATTCATTCAACGGTTCGATTTGATTTCATATGTAGCATTCAACTGTTGAATTTAAATTCATAGATAGCATTCAAACTTTGGTGCGTCCCAGCACTAATACGTCAGAAGAATCGTAGTCGTTACACCCAGAAGACGTGCAAATATTTATTTATTTTTCACTGGGCTGGCTCTCTCGTAAATTTCACTTCCGATCTTCCATATATAGAAAGTTAGAGTCTTCCAGGATCAACAGTCATAAGCCAAGATGGGCTGTATCCTCCATGAATTAAAAGCAAATCGCTTTCAGTGCGATAATCAAACAAATAAACAACACTGATCGAACGAAATATGTCTACATATAAAGGGAATCGACTTAACCAAGACAAGATTTGTCTCACTTGAAAGGTTTATAAAAAGAGAAGAAAAAGAAATGAAGATTAAAAATCGCCGATAAGATTATTCGACAGATAAGTACACCAATGAAAATTTCTCTTATTCCTATTTTTCTATTTTCTTTCCTTTGTCTGATTCTTTCTTTATTGTTTCGTTCTTTTTCCATCCTATATGTTTATTAAATTAAAATAAATATAACTTTACATCTCGTGTTTGCTTTCTATACAGTATCTGTGTTTGCATTGGACCGTAACTGGGTAGAAAATATCACTTCTAATTTTAAGCGAACCGCGTTCGTAGCTGTATCTTTGAATTGTATTGCAATACACACATATACACACATACACACACACACACACACACACACACACATATATATATATTCAACCCAATCACTTGATAAGACACCAGAAGTGTTGAAACAAAATGGCTCTTTTTGTAGTGATTTTATAACATATTTATGTTATAATTTTTGAATAAATTAATATATATATATATATATATATATATATATATATATATATATATATATATAGGCTGCCTAACGATTGCGTCTACCATGAAACAGCCTGTCGGCTCTGAGTGTTGATCCAATGTTCACTTTTATATTTACATACGCCTATCTCTGATATTAAACACTTTATCCCATATATATATATATCCTAAATATAGCACACCTTAAAACTATATTTCTTCATATAGATAGATAGATAGATAGATACAGATTTTGACTGAGATATATAGATATGAACACATTGTGATAGATAAATAGATAGATAGATAGATAGATAATGAAGAGACTGAGATAGATAGATAGATAGATAGATAGATAGATAGATAGATAGATAATGAAGAAACTGAGATAGATAGATAGATAGATAATGAAGAGACTGAGATAGATAGATAGATAGATAGATAGATAATGAAGAGACTGAGATAGATAGATAGATAAATAGATAGATAGATAGATAGATAATGAAGAGACTGAGATAGATAGATAGATAGATAGATAGATAGATAGATAGATAATGAAGATAGATAGATAGATAGATATGAACCGATTGTGATAGATAAGATAGGTAAATAAATTAGTAGATTGAATGATTGAGATAGGCATGAAAAAATGAAGAAAATCGATATTAAAACAATGTGTTGTATAAAAGAAATAAATTTCCATAAAAATGTATTTGCTAAAATGAAAACTTATGGAGTATTATCTATTTCAAAATGTTCCCTGCCTGGGGCCAATGTACTTCTTCATTTTCCTTTCCCCCCATCTCGATGACTACTTTATAATCGTATTTCTTCATGCCTTCAGCAAATTGGTGATATCGACCTCACGCTTGAATTGTCTTGAGTTGTATAGTGTTACAGCTGGGTACCTCTTTCTCATTCGGGAACTTAAGGCTATTAAGAGTACCGCTTTTGAACAGACACTCTCCATGCTAAAATTTAACACCGAATTTTTCGCTGATTGATTCAATTTCTCAGATTGCCAATCTACGACCTGGTTGTACCAGTTTACTAAGCCGCTAGATCAGGGCTTCTCAACCTGGGGGCCTTGGGTGGGTTTCAGAAGTCCTGTGAGGATCAGATAAAAATGAATATTTATATTCGCTATACAACCTTTGTCTAAATCAACGGTTTCCCATAAAAAAAGAAAGAAAATGCATCCCACCTCTGCTAGAAAGTAAACGCTCCCATATATATATATATATATATATATATATCGTGACCGAGGGACAGATTGTTGATCATTCTAGATAACACGCTCTCTCCCAGAAACTGTAACTGCTCAGCATAGTTTCAGTATAAAACACTAGTTGGATCTGTGGGTGTTGAACAAACCCAAATGTGACTGAGCGAGAGTCTGCAACAGGGATTGGCTAGCCTCCCTAGTAGACATGTATCCTAGAATACTAGTGACCATTATATTATATATATATATATATATATATATATATATATATATATATATATATATATATATCATTTCGATCCAAGCATGGTGTTACATGGAGTGAAAGTGAATGAGAAGACTTTATTGAGGAAACAAGGTTCAGGAAGACAGAAGATGGCGCTGCATCTAAATTTTTGAAAATTGTAGTTGGCAGGGAAGCAAGAAATCAGAATGGATTTACATGGACGAGAAGTGCGAGAAAAGAAATTATTAGAATAGAACTGGTGGTTGCATCTAGCTAGCTCAATAGTAAAACATTGAGACCTATATGCCAATCTAGTAGCACGCTTAAATTCATGCAATCTAGATATTAAGAAAAAAAGGATCTGCAGAACACTTGCCGTAAAAATATTTGTAGACAAAAACAGAGGGTCACTACTTACAGTGCCGACCCCTCGGCGTCTCTTGACTTGGTCAATGTTTACCATTTAAACCTGTAACATTCTTTGCCCGATGACCATCTTTTGTCTCTTCATAAGCTAATTTTCATTTTTCACGCTGTGTCACGGCTTGATTACATTCTCCTATACCAGTGAGAGCAGGAACGGTGGACTAATGGTTAGAGCCGAGTTCGAATTCCAGTCGAATCCATTACATTCACTTACGTGTTAATACCCTTGGGAAAATAGCAGGAACAGGTTCTAAAGCTTTGGCTGGCTACTGGTCTACCGCAGAAAGAAATGGCAACCTACTGCGGGAAAAATCTGCCTCGTCAGTCATGTATCGAAAGATACATGATCGCCTAAGCGTGTATCACGCATGGCACATAACTGACTGACTATGGGTAAATAGAAAAACAGACTGGCTTCTATAGCCTTGAATGGCAACTGATCTACCGCAGAAAGAAATGGCAACCTACTGCGGGAAAAATTGCCTCGTCAGTCATGTATCGTAAGATAAAGGCTCGCCTAAGCGTGTAACACGCATGGCACATAAGTGACTATGGGTAAATAGCAGGACAGACCGGGTTCTACAGCCTTGGATGGCAATTGGTCTACTGAATAAAGAAATGACAACCCACTGCGAGAAAAAATAATCTGCCTCGTCAGTCATGTATTGAAAGATACATGATCGCCTAAGCGTTTATCACGCATGGCACATAACTGACTCTCTATGGGTAAATAGCAGGACAAACCGGGTTCTGTAGCCTTGGCTGGCAACTGGTCTATTGAATAAAGAAATGACAACCTACTGCGAGAAAAAATCTGAATCGTCAGTCATGCGTCGAAAGATACATGATCGACTAAGCGTTTATCATGCATGACACATAACTGACTATGGGTAAATAGCAGGACAGACCGGGTTCTATAGCCTTGGATGGCAACTGGTCTACCGCAGAAAGAAATGGCAACTTATTGAGGGAAAGATCTGCCTCGTCAGTCACGTACAGAAAAATAAAGGCTCTCCTAAGCGTGTATTACGAATGGCGCATAACTGACTGATACTGATGAAGATTAATTGACCACAAAGTGCCCGACTGAAAAGTAATTTTGTGCATTGTGCAGTATGTGCAAATGCAATCTCAAGTGTTATGAAAAACCAATCAAACTGTTTGCCCTTCATAAAGGGCTAGTTCTTATAAGCGTGCCTGATTCAAGGGATCCATAACTGAAATCAACTGTCCTCCACGTCTTCCTGTCTTTTTGTGGACTACTTGAGCTATTCAAAGTCGCGACATGTTCTTATTTCCGGCTTCAAGGTCGATTTTGTCTGTCGCTTGTTAATTGTTTATAATATAATGACCCGATATGATATTTTATTTTATTTTTTACCGCAGCATCATAAAAATGGCACCGAGTTGTCTGATCTTTTGTTTACTCTCCCAATACATTTAAATTTGTAGCGACCTCTGTGTAAGCTGATATCTTGTTAAGCGAAAAACAACTGACCTTTCACAGAAATGGATTCGGGCATTTAAATTCCTGATGATTATCAGCTAACTGGACTTCACAAGTGCATGGCAAACGGCTCGGACAAAGAGAGCCACTGAATGAAGATAAATTATTTTTTTTTAGACAAAGATGACGAGACAAAAAATATTGTTTTCTATCAGATAATGGCGAAGACCATGAAAAGGCCAAAGAGACGAAGAGGGCCCATGGAGAACGACGCGAAAGGGAGGACTCTCATTAAAATTTTCACCTTCACCTCACGTATGCTTCATCTCGAATAAGTTCGGCTATATCAGTCGAGAATAAAATCTGCTTACTGCTACAAATTCACATGGTCTTAATTCGTGGTCGACGAAACTGCACCATGAGAACAAACCTGGTGTTTGATCTGAAATGCAACAAATTACTCTTAGTATTTCATGATATTTTTGTGTAATTTTGGTAAATATATCTGTTAAAATGAGATATCACTATTATTTTCAGTTTTGCGTAATAAAGACGACAATTTATCCATTCCACTCTCTATCTATCTATATGCGTACACATATATAGATATATATGCACACACGCACAAACAAAATATATATATATATATATATATATATATATATATATATATATATATATGTTATAAAATCAGGACAAAAATAGCCATTTTGTTTCAACACATCTGTTGTCTTATCAAGCTCCATTCAACATCCTCACTTGAGGTGTTGAAACAAAATGGCTATTTTTGTAGTGATGTTATAACATATTTATGTTATAATTTTCGAATAAATAATTATGTTTCCTCTACTCTGTATTGAGCACGCTTTTAAGAATAGTAATTGTTGGTTATTGGAATTTATTCCGTATACACCAATCCTATACTTATATATATATATATATATATATATATATATATATATATATATATATATATATATATATATGGACCATTTTGCCGTTAACAATAAATTTTTAAAAAAATCCAGACGACATGCATTTAACGGATGTCAGTTTTCATTGAAAAATACATCCCTACCCCTACCAAAATGTAACTAATAACCGATACATCAAAATACAGCGATAATGAACAGGCAACCACCCCTTGTCTGGATGAATGGATTTCTCTGTATCCTTGGAAACTGTAAATTATGATTTTTTGCTGTGCCTTTTAAACACAGTAATTGTAAAAATAAGTTACTCCAAAATTCGCTTGAGGATGAAATGGAACTAATGTCTTTAATTTAATTACAAAATTAAATACGAAACTTTTAGCTTCCATTTTTGAAACATGGTTAGAACTGTGTAGCGAAAACACCATATTTTAAATCAATTAATTTATATATATATATATATATATATATATATATATATAGTCATCCACAGACAGACTGTTTTCATGTATGGCAGTGTGGCCTAGACGTTCGATTGCTTCAAGCCGTGATCGAAAGCCGACAGAATTGACATCTACCAGATATCTTACTCCTAGCCCATCGTCGCACGGCAGAAAGGAAGGGAATTTTAACGTTTTTCTCTATACGAAATACGCCAGCGGTTTGGAGAACTCAATTTGTACTTGACGAGTAACCCTTAATAGCAGTAGGGGCCGCTGTTTTTAAAAAACCCTTGCTTTAGAGAACTCAATCGGATGTCAGGGACCATATATTGTCATAGACACACTGTTTCGCTGTATATATATATATATATATATATATATATATATATATATATGAGAATAACACGTAAAATATATAGATTTTTTCATTGTATTTTTTAACCAATTTTTAAATGTAAAAAGCGTCTAAACACACAATGATAGTTTTAAGAATATTCTACTTTTTGTCAAAAAAATCCATTTTTTTCACTTACTGCATACATATTATTTGAAACCTCTTAAGATGTCGAAAAAATAATTTCGTCAAATTTACATTTAGTAATATATTCTTGGACGTATTGTACAACTCAGACTGCTTTAACATTAATAAATGTTTGGGGGATAAGCATCTATTAACGAATGCGCAGTGCACCATTGGTTTCAGAAATGTCGTTCTGGTGAAGCCAGCCTTGAAGATAAGAAAGGTCGCGGACATCAGATGAAGATGAGAAATTAAGAACATTAGTAGAGATAAATCCTCGAACCATTGAACAAAATTGGAAAGTCTAAGAAGTTGGACAAATACGTACCACAGAAATAGAATGAAAACCAAATGAATCGGCGCTATGAAGTCTTTTCGCTTTCACGGCGTCTTTTTTACCCAACAAAAATTAACCATTTCTCGATTGCATTCTTTTTCGCACGCAATAATTATATTTTTAAAGAATATTTTAAGTCTTTTATTTATTTTAATATTTTAAATCTAAATGAGCCATTCTTTACACTTACTGCTTATATATTACTAGCAGTAGAGCCCGACGTTGCCCGGGGATGTAACAGTAAGAAATAGATCAAGTATCGACCATCATAAAGACTGAAAAATAAAACTGACAA